AGAGGGTACCGTGACTACCAGAGACCAGCTGGTTTATGGAAGAGAGGGAAATAGAAATGGAGACGGGCGGTAAGAAAAGAGTAAATGAAACGAGAGGAAGCTTCACACAACGCAAGGGGGTGTTGCACCATGAACTGAAGTGCATGGTGAACTCGGCCTGCGTCTAAAATCAGAAACGAAAACAAGAAGAGAACAGGGGGTAAAGATGGAAGGAAGGAGAGAGACAGACAGAAAGAGAGAGGGAGGGAGGGATAAGAAAAAGCACACAGACATCTTAGCCGGAAGGAACGATAGGCTAGAACCCCAGGGATGCAGTGGTTCGGGGCAGGGAAAGTCTGCCTGCAGACTGTAGGCAGGGTGACTTGGAGTGCGCCCCCTGCTGGCAACTGCTGAATGGTGCAGAGGACGCCAAGGCCAAATCACGCCCTGCTCCGCCCTCTTCAGGGCAATCGGCTGACTTGTCTCCAGCAATTAACTTCTTTTTGCAGACAGGTGGTAGGTAGTATGAGGGGAAGTGAGGGTAGAAACGGAAACCTGCTGGGCCTGTGACAGATTATCGTTTGATTGTGAGAAATAGGAATTCAACCATTTTCCTCTACCCTCCTCCCTCACAAAGGCTGAAAACTTGGAACTCTCCCTCCCCCACCCGGGCCCCACCCCCACCGCAGTGACAAAATGCATGGGAGCAGCGCACTTAATGCCAAATCCCATATGGTCTGGGCGAAATGAAAGGACTTAAGGTCAGGGTCCTCATTTTTCTGAGAATAATAATAATAATAATAATAGCACTATTTGAAACGTAATTTTAATTGTATATCTGAGCTGGTAAGAAAGCAAAGGAAATCTTTTGAGGCTAAAAAAATAAGGAGAAAACAGAAACACAGAAAGGTAAGCCAGCTCTGATGCCAGCCACTGCCCAGAAGGATCCCTGGTCTCCCAGAGCTCCATTCCCGGCGGGCCGGGGCAGGGCATATGAGCCCTAGTATCGGGCAAGATTGCAGACTGGGTCAGAGAACCGTGCACAAAGCTGAGGTGGAAAACAAAGTTGTCCCCACCTCAAATCAATGATTGCCATGGACACGATTAAAATTGCAGCTTCACCACCTCCATCATCATCACTGTCCATTGCTGTCATCGCCGTCACTCTCCCCCTGGGTCATGGGAAGGGAAGGTCCTCTCTAACTCTTGGGTTTGAGTACAAGGGCAACAGGAAGTCGCCTGAGAATTCCTAACCACAAGCTGACATCCACTCGGGTGCCGGGTCAGGATTCACACTCACTGGGTGTCTAGAAAAAGCTGAGAGTTTGTTCAAACATTTCCCAGGTTGATAGCTCCCTTAAACAAGAGGCAAAAGCAAATATAAATTCTATCTGGGAGGAACAGATATTCAACTCAGGCCACAAAACATTTCCACAGAGCAAGTTGCAAGGAACATGAGCACACAATCACATTTGAACAAACCCCCATGAGTGAGAAAGTCAGTAGGAAAAAATAATAATAAATCCAACCTGCAAATGCTACAGATCTGAGAATAATGAGAGACAGAATACAAAAATCAGTATCTTTGATGCTTAAAAAATAAAACAGGGCATTTGAATGATGACTAAAGAGCAAGACATTAAAAATGATTTGAAAAGAATAAAATGGCACCTCTAGAAAATTTTTTAAAGGATAGTCATAGAAGTTAGAAACCCTGCGTGGGTTAACAGCTAGTTACACATAATTGGAGGGAAAGTTAATCAATTAGACTATCAGCTCAAAAAACTCCTGGAATGCAGCAGAAAGTGAGATATAATGTACTGAAGAGAGGATGACACAGAGGACATAGTGAAAAACCAATCTTATCTGAGCTACAGGAGATAAAGAAAATACATGTCCAGAGGTGATATCTGGGAAGGAAAGGACTCAGAGTTTCCCGAAACTGATGAAACCTATGAATCTCCAGTTTTAAGAACTTTGGTAAATCCCAAAGAAGAGTAAAAAAAAAACAAAAAATCCACGCTTAGAAAATCACAGAGAAACTGCCAAACCAAAGACAAAAAGAATCATAACGCTAGCCAGAGAGAAAACATAATTTTAATCTGCAAAGAATAGACAGCTCAGTGTTATTCTTTGCCACTGACTTCCTCAGTGGCAACAAGAGAAGTCAGGCAAAGTGAAATGGTATCTTCAGAGTAGTGAGTGAGTGGCACCCATGGTCTCCGCACAGCTGCATGCTTACCAAAATTGTCTACCAGAAGCAAGCACAGAATACTCATGGTATCTGCACAAAAACAAACATAACTACTGTAGGTTCCTCACTAGAGAGACTTCTCAAAGACAGACTTTAAGAAGAAAATAACCTCGCAAGGAAAGGTTGAGAAGCAAAATGGAGAAGCAAGGGGGAAAAATTCCATATTTTGCTGTATATAAGGCACACTCACGTTTTTTGGCCCAAACTTTCAGGGGGGGAAATCTTCATTTTAATTATTTATTTATTTATTTGTTTGTTTGTTTATATTTAGATGCTTATTTTTTGTATTATAAAGAAATTTTAGCATGTATTTTTTGAACTTACAATGCTACAAGAAACTTTATGTAACAAATGATTACAAAACACAAGAACAGATACAAGGTACAAGAAATTTTATGTACCAGGAACAAATTAGTACCACCCATGTACAATGCACACCTTTATAACTTTCCCCAAAAATTCAGACAAAAAAGTGCACATTTACATGGCAAAATACGGTAAACAGTGATTGGTGTACAGTAATAATAACATATGGAGCTATTTGTGGAGGTAAAATCCAATCTGTGGGGCTAAAAAAAAAGCAAACAACATAGAAATAAAATAATAACATAGACCAGAAGAAGAGTTATTAATGTTAAAAATCCTTAAGGTTTTTGTTTTACTTAGGAGAATAAAGGCAATGATTAACTTTATATATCAAGTTAAATATACATTAAAATTTCTATAGTAACCATTAAACAATACAAATAATTTATAACTTCCACTTTATTAAAGTCAAAAATTGGAATGTGAAAAAATTTAACTCAAAAAATTTAACCAAAAAACAACTATATATATAAATATATGAGAAAAAATGATATGTTAGAAACAATAGATGTTAGAATGAGCCTTATCTTTAAGAATAAATCTGCCAAAACTGGTGTGACTCAGTGGGTTGAGCATTGTCCTACAAACTGAAAGGTCGCCAGTTCAATCGCAGGTCAGGGCACATGCCTGAGTTTCGGGCCAGTTCTCTGGTGACGGTGGGGGGGGGGGGGCGGGGGCATTCAAGAGGCAACTGACTGATGTTTCTTTTCCTCTCTTTCTCCCTCCCTTTCCCCCATAAAAAAAGAAAGAATAAATAATTTTTCAAAAAAGAATCTAATAAAAAATGTAACAGACCTTTCTGCATTAAAGTATATGACTTAAGTGGAAAACATTAAAAATAGTTCAATAAATGAGATTATGCAATGTTCATGAACAAAGACTTAATTTTATAAAGTTGTTCATTTTCCTCAAATTGATCAATAGATATAATTCCAACAAACAGACCAATAAATATGTTTGTGCATAACCTGATAAGCTATTATAAATATATAAGGAATAGCAAATAGCTTTTAATTTTTTTCCAGACACTCTTGAAAAAAGAAGAGTGTGGTAAGAGGCATCAACAAGATCTCAAGATATATTTATAGAATTAGAGTAATTAAGAAATTTGTATTGTCTTGGGAACATACAGGCAGGCAGATGGAACAGGACAGAGAATCCAGAAACATACCATGAAAAATATTGATATGTGATATGACAGAAAGAACACTGCTGGTTAATAGGGAAACAAAGGACTATTCAGTAGAAAATTTTTTAAGGGTATCCACATTAAAAAAATAAAATGATACCCAATCATAAAACACACAACATAATTCTGGATAATTTAGAACTTAAACTAAAACATTGAAGTAGAGTCAAGGGCAATGTGTTTATTTTACCCAAGAGAAGATTTCTGAATCTAGATCACAGTGGCACAAATCACTCAGTAAAAGCTTCATAAATTGGACTGCATCAACATCAGTTAAGATACTTTATCAAGTGGCCACATAAAGACAGACCACAAACTCGAAGGAAGTGCTTGCAACTTATATCATCAAGAAAAAATTACTATCCAGAATATATGGATGGCTAGTTTAAATGATAAAAAAATCAAATAACTCAACAGGTAGAATGAGCAAAAGTGACAAAAATCTTTACACACAAAGTCATCCCCACCTCCAATCAATGATTGCCATGGACACAATTAAAAAGTACAGCTTCACCACCTCCATCACCATCAGGGGAAGACACAGCAAGCCAATAAACACATGAGAAGATGCTCAACCCCATTAATAACCAGGAAAATACAAACTAATGATCACGATGGACTACCTTCACATCCATCAGAGTGGCCGAAAGAAACAGAGATTCTGATGACACCACAGGACCAAGGACTATGAAGTAGGAAAAGGAGGGATTCCCCCCCCCCCCACTAAGGCGGGAGGTGGCTGCCACACTGCTTAGTAAAGCCATTCAGAAGGATCCGTAAAGTTGAAGGTGTTTCTTCCATGCCAGCAATCCTGTTCCTCGGACACACCTTGGAGAAGGTTTGTAGCTGTCCCGGTGGCCATGGGGGCGGGCAACATAAATGTGCATTTCCAGGAAAATGGGTAAGTTGGAGTATATTCACTTAATAAGATGTTACATGCAATGAACAACAGCTATATTCCTGAACAGAGATGGATCTTACAAATGTAATACTGTGTGGAAAATAGAGGCAACAGAATACCCACAGCGATTCCGTTTATATAGAATCAGAAGCACGACTCCAGCAATTGGTCCCAAAAGCCTTCACGGTTACTGGATAATTTGTACTTTGTAATATCTGGTAGTCGCCTGGTTACTAGAGCTTCAGGTTAACAGAAAATTAAGCATTAACTATGGTTCCAGGGGAAAAAATATAATCTGTGGAATGAAAACCTTTAAAATCCAACAACAAAATTTTAGTAAGATATCCCTGTAGGATATTAGAAAGATCTTCTTGAGCCTATCTTCGAAATGCCATCGGTAAATCAGACTTTCTCCTGAAATGCTGGTCCTCTCTTGGGCCATCTGAGCATGACACATGCTGACCTGCCCACACTGACTGGCTGTAACACCGGCCCAAGGGTTACTTGGCCGCTGCATGCCTAGACCACCGAGGTGTCCTGCCGGGACGATGTCCCTGCAAAGACCCAGCGCCATGTACCAGGCTCAGATCTCGGCTCTGGTGTTCGGCGTCAGCGGGTTTGGAGCTCTCATCGCGGCCACCGCGTCCAACGAGTGGAAGGTAACCACCCGAGCATCGTCCGTGATAACCGCCACCTGGGTTTACCAGGGTCTGTGGATGAACTGCGCGGGCAATGCCTTGGGCTCTTTCCACTGCCGACCGCACTTCACTATCTTCAAAGTAGAAGGTAAATATATGAATCATAGCTTTGCTTGGGGTCAAAGTTAACACTGTAAAGACTGTGCGTTTCATTAAAGCGCCATGATTTGCCCAGGAGGAATGGGGTGTATGAATGGTGGCTGAAAGAACTAAATCCTGTATTTTAATAACGTTGTGGATCTTTTAGAAATACCTCGTGCAAATGATAGACTCATCGGAAAGGGCAGAAGTGAACTGGCTTGTTTTAAAAGATAGTTTCAATTTGCCTTGTGCCTTGTGTCATGGAGGAATAAATCATATGTAATCCTATGCTTTCCCGGGCCATCTGAACATGAAATACACACACGCATGTATATATTCCTATATATTCAGAGTGCTAGGAGAATACAATGGTAAGGACAGTGTGGAGTGAGGAAGGAGTTCTGTTTTCAGAAGGGTTTCCATATTGTCCTATTTAGTGATAAAATAGCAGAACAGGAAGAATTTTAAAAGTAGCTAAGTGAAGGAAAATGCCCATGAACTTTTCCCTTTTGTTACTTGGCTTTATTTAAAAAATATGCAGGCAAGCATTCATGCTTATGCACATCAGAAATTCTATTCCGAGTGTCTGTGTCATGAAGAGGAAACTTTTTTTTTAAAAAGCCACTTTCATACTTGGGTCCACCTCCGGGGAATCAATGATGTGCTTTTATGATGATATAAGAATCACTCTCTGCCTCTGTTTCCTGTTTATTTGATACATTTACAAATCTCCTACTGGTTCTGGGTGTATTACATTAAAAATCGTTCCTGGTATTTTATCAAATCTAGACTTTTCACAATCGAATGGCAGAACTGTACCTTGGCCCCTGTAAAGAAAATGGAATAAAATTTTAACTAGGGAGTTACTAAAGCATAATATTTGATGGGACTTTTATGTCAAGGCTTCAGGTCACTAGTCCACAATATGTGCCAAAGGATATGGAGAAGGTAATTAATTAAATACTTAGTCAAAGCCGGGAGATGGCGAAAGGCGATCAACAGGAACATTCAAGCCTGGATACGTTCGAACTGGTGCGGCTGTCAAACCACCCGGACTCTCCTAAGCCCCTATTTTAGGAGTCAGTGTTATGTCTCTCCTCAGTCTTAACTGCTCAACCAACTTTGGGACATGTCAAAATCAGTACAAGGGACAATTTTAAAAGAAGAATAAGGGTGTTCACATACTGCTTTTATTCACGAAATGACAACATTCGGGAAGTGACAAAAAGAACAATATCACCTCTTCCTGTCCCTTCTCTGTGGTCCCCTCTCGGCCCCTTCCTACTCTGGGCAGCAAGAAAAAGAGAAGTCACATGGGTAAGGGTTTTTCTTTGCTTTCTACTGGGTTCATCCTTAAAAAGAGAATGTTTTTGCCTTTTTACCCTTCATTTTGTATTTCTTAACAAAACCCAGGTATTCTGGAAAATAGGCATTCAACCTTAGCTCCAAAGTGGGCTAAAGAACATGGTAGATTTCTGTATGACTTCAATAGCTACTTCTCCAAATATCTTAGAAGACACGGAATTAGAAATTTTGTTGCTGTATAGTATTCCCAGTGATCCAAATAATCTTCCATTCTTAACATTTTCATCCCCCTAGTTTTGCTTCTTGATAGTAAAAACAGTGCATTTAATATCTGCTGTGTAGCCTGTTCACAGAGTTAAACTGAAAAATCTAGTCCAAAGCTTCGATTAGAGTATGCAAAATTCAGTTTGACATAATCTCTCCACTCTCTTCATCCTGAGTTGAAATCTTTATAACAGATCCAGTTAGTACGGAAACCCATTTTTCACATCAGAACACTGTTCCACGTTTCCAGAGGAAATGGGGACCCACGAACTTGGACTTCCCGTTCACACGGAGCCATGGCTGACGAGGCTGGCTGCATCCCCCTCATTCCCACGGGAACACCAGTGGGGCTGCTGGGACGGCTATTTTATGCCCAGAGGCTCCCAAACATACAACGACTGGAAACTGAGTGAAGGACTGTGAGGACAATGAGGAGCGAGAGTGGTTATATCACATTTTAAAGTAAAGTAATCCTGCATTGTCAATTCGAGAGGACTCTTCTTAGACTTAGGCTACATGGAGCCCCCTCTAAGAGAGAAAAACAGAAAATCTTTTAAAAATGCTAGGCTTTTTTTTTCTTGGTTGGTTACATAAGTTCATTGCCAGAGTCACACTTTTTTCCCCTTAACCTCCCTAGATGTCCTATTATAAACATGTTTTTTTAGGGACTCATTTAAGTAAATAGTGACTGCACTCTTCGAAGAGGTGTTGCAAGCCAGCATCTCTTTGGACAAGGAGCATGTACAGTTACTGCAGAGAACACAGCCCCCCTCCAACTACATTTCTGTGAATCCAGTTTTGGGAAAACTGGGACCCCTGTAATGAAATCCTCCCTGCAGCCCAGAAACTTCTCCACTCAATTTCAAAAGCACATCACTGTCTATTAATGCAATGTCCACTATAGGCTGTACTAAAGAACAACAATTCCGCCCTGACTGGTGTGGCTCAATGGGTCGGGTATCATCCTGCAAAGCAAAAGGACACTGGTTGGATTCCCAGTCAGGGCACAAGCCTGGGCTGCTGGCCAGGTCCCCAGTAGGGGGCGTGAGAGAAGCAACAGATGGATGTTTGTGCATGGATTTTCCTCTCCCTCCCTTTCCCCCTTCCTTCACCTCTCTCTAAAAGTAAGTAAATAAAATCTTTTCAGAAAGGCTTAAACAAAGAACAAGACTTCAACTGAGGAAATTGAAATATACTTGTCTTTGTAGATTCATGAATTGGGTAGCATCGCATCTAGCGAGTGAAGGAAAGCCGTGAAAAGCTGTACCACATGCAAGGTTTTCATGGGCAGAAACTGGGTGGGACAATAATATTGTGAGCAAAAGAAAAGAGAGGGTTATCTCAGGCAATGTTACCTTTCGGGGGTGCTTGGGGTGGGGCAGGGGGAGGTCTTCTCAGGCTGACTGCCTTACTTTCTTTTGGGAGGATGGAGGGGCCCACCTGGCAGGTTACCTCATTGGTACTGACCAGAGAATTTAGATAGAGCGATTAATGCCACATTCCTGGAGAAGGCTGAAACTGCAGGTAGGTTAGGTGTAAAGTCTAGGGTTGGTGCCATGGGCTTCAGCAGAAGTGACTCCCTTTGGGGCTTGTGGTTTTCTCTTTAAGAGCTGCATGTCCTGTTTTATTGTTGTTGTGTGTTTGTTTTTTCTGCTCTCACGTCAACATTAATAGGCACATTTTCATAGGCATGAAAGGAAAGCACTTCTCAAGGGGACAGAAGCAGTGATTTTTGGTGGGGAGAGCTGGGTCCAGAATGTATTGTGACAAGTAGAATTTAAAATTAACTTGGGGTCCCTTTGGGGAACATAACAGCCTGAGCTGTTATATTCTCCTTGTGCTCTTGACTCAGTGAGCTCTGGATATATATTTGGAAAAAAATGGCTGAATGAACAAAATCATGAGTGAGACAAGCAGTCGATCACCAGGGCGAAATCGTGTTCCCAGAGGAAGGCTGGAGTGTCCGGAGCCACGGTGTGATTTAGGCCGCGGGTCCACGAAAGGGAAGATCGCTGGATTGGAGTTCAGCCAGTGGGGCTTCAGGCTCTGACTCTTTTCTTTACCTAGCCGTGAGACCTTGACTTTGGCAATGAAACTCTCTGCGCCTCTTCCATGAGTTGAGGGAGCGGGACTCCAAGCGTTCGGCAAAGCATCTTTCAACCTGGAGTTCAACCCGGCAGCATCACCCTGGTTTGCCGCCTGGCAGCGGAAGTGCGCCCAGGCACTGTCCGTGCAAAAGCCTCCTCCAAGATCCGGCAGTCGCTCCCCAGATGAGTCCTTCTGGCTGGCTTCCTCTGTTCCTGCCTGTTTCCAATCTTACTGCGTCCGGCTGGAGATGAGTTTAAATGACCTTAGGCCGTTTAAACGGCCCAAGGATTTCAGGGGGATGAAGTCAAATGCTATTCTGGAAGCTGGCGCTCAATGATGCTGGCTGCCTTGGAGGATGAACCTTCTCTCCTCACCTCCCAACGTCACCCCCTCCACCCATTCCCTTATCAGTCACGGCACGGAAGTGGGAAGGGGGGTGAAAAGGAATGGCATTTGCTAGAGAAAAAGGGGTTTTCTATGGATGCTTGACATACAGGGAATAGCTAGGAGCCCCCTGACGTCATAATTTTAGATTTCTTGCTAGCTGAAACATGTGCCTTAGTCCGTGATTAAATAACAGGCATAAATAAGTCTCCAACGACAGTAATGAATAAATGAAAACTGGGGAGTCGCTGAGGGAAAATTGCCTTTAATAATTTAGTTGCTTCAAAAATCACACATTTGCTACATTGCTTCCTCTTCAGAAGGCATTCGCTTTGACCTCAGGGAAGGCTTCTGTTTGCTAAGATTCTGACTCTGCTTTCTGAGACTTAATTTAGTTTTTAATTAACTTAAAAAATTTTTATTGTATTTTCCCTTGTCATTTAGCCCCCTCATGCCTCCTCCATCACTGCCTCTTAATTTCAATAAATAAGCCTGAAGTTCATTTTAATCTTACATTTATTGCTTGCTGTGCTCCAAATGTATACACAGTTACTTAAAAGCATATAGAAAAACTCAAGTTTTCTCTTTAGTATTTATCACTCCCCAAAATAAGCCTAAGGAACATCGATATGTTCTTGTCCCCACCAAAACAATGCCATAATTGTATGTTTATTGAAACACTCAGTGACGCGGTGGACCCTGGGCAGGAGGAACCCATGGCGTTGTCTCTGTGCTGAGGATACAGGTTCTGGGGACCCAGTGAAGGGGGGGGCATGTGCCTGCCCCCGTGGATGTGCTCCTAGAGGAAGACAGCCAGTCAGCCGACAGTTAGCCCAGAAGGGTAAGCACTCCCTGATGGTTAGGTTCCACTGGCTGGCAGGCTTCCCCGCAGAACAAGCATTGGATCTGCCTTGAAAGGTGGGTAGCCATTTGCCAAGGAGAAGGGAAGGGTGGGCACTTCCCGCC